CAGTGCTAGGTCGCCGCGCTGGTGGGCGTGGCTTGCGACTTCGCAGTGTTCGGTACGAGTTGTGTTATCTCATAGCTCCTTTAAGTTGCCGAGGACGCCATGTACTAACGCAAATCCCTTGCTCCAGAAACAACTTATGGGTACCGAAAGGGCAACTCTAAAATTGCCGCGTCCGTGGCCGCACGACTGGCTGCGTGCGACGTGAGCGGCGTGTCCTGACTAAATCGTGGTAGAATCGCAGGTCTCCCGTATATTGCCAGTGCACGTTGCTCGGCAAACCAGCGGCATTTGCTAGCTAGTTGACTCACCGTACTGCAGTGCTTCAACGTTAAATAAGATAGGTCCTTGCTTGAGTAGCACGCATGTGGTCCTGCCTGCTGCATCTGTTCTTCCGACCTCTTTGTTAAGTTAAACTAAAGATATGCATCCGAGTTGCTGCGTAATCTTCTGCAGTTATTTCTTGCGGCAGCTTATAGGGCAGATTTAATGGCCGTTTGTGTTTTCAAGGGCTTTCAGAAGCGAATTCCACGACTGGGATATGGAGCAGGGCATGTCGTTCCTCTCCCAATCACTCCTCCGCTCGGCGTTCGTTTTTTGTTAAAAAGTGGAGGAACTTTTGAAAAAAAAAACGGAAAGTGGTGAGAAACTGGGAGATGGTAGGTAAGATGGGGTATGGACCAGGGATCGCATCAGGGAAGGGTTAAGGGTTTTGAGGGGTTGTAATTCGCAGAAATTGTCCGCAAAGACAGGCCTGCCGTGGTGCAGAATGGTTCAGAGTGACAGTGTGAGGTACTAACAGTAAGTTAATAAAGCAGAAAAAAAACGGAAAGGAACGGTTGAGTGAGTGGGTGAGTTGAACGGCTAATAAGATTCATTCTCAGCTGGTTTTGGGTGGTGATTATGAAGACAAGAAACACCAGGAGTCCTGATGGGAGTCCAGGTGATGTTGGGGTGGAAAAGTCAAAAATCGAAGTGACATACACCGTTGCTTTCGCCTAACTCGCTCACATCAGAGCCGCGTCAGCTGGTACTCCAGCGTGCTAGGGCTGTGGTGTCTTTTTTCCCGGCCTTGAGCTCGTGAATGAGCACAGTATCTTAACTTGCACCCCACTATCTTTGCTTACGTGGAGGGGGGCACTATTTCATTTAGCTAATCGTTGAATGGACTATTGATTACGTTGTCATATCAGACCACTTTCAGATATCTCACAGCAAAAGAGGACAGAAGGGATGAGGAAGGTTCGTCAAGGCGTGATCGAGTGAGAGGAAGCCATACATGGACCGAAGAGGAGCGCATTATAGCATTCCATTGTGAGTACCGTTAATTACTTCCAGTATAGAATTAGGATTGTCTAGTAGAGTTCTGATATATTGTGTATTTTTGTGGTTTTTTTAGCCTTGGGGTCATTTTTAGGCAGTTGGCACGATAAATCCCCCAAGGCGACTAGGATCAATACTCCTGGCAGGATAGAATTCCGCCTGGGCAGGCGCTGCATAGCGGTTTCCCCGAGGAAGGTGCCCTTATAAGGGCCCTATCAAGCCACAACTTTACGTCCCAAACGCCCGCCCGCCCACAAATGGACGACCGTTCCTGACGCTCTAATCGATTCATTTGCTAAGCAAATTATGAAGCGAAGGGATTGGTATGAAGCGGCCGTGATGCTGCATGCATACATGGGTACACATATGCAGCCGTATCTTCGGTAGCGGTGATTGGTAAGATGCCTACGGGAAACTCGTCCGAAATCGATTTACAAGTCACTGAGAACGGAGGCTTTTTCTTCGCAGGATTTTGACCGTTTCACTCCGTTCTTTCGCCACCCCATCTTACCAGGAAAGGTCAACAGGTCAGCCCGGCCATTTCCAATGAGGTGCACACCGTTGTACGAGTCTTGGGACGGTGAACTCGAATCTACCTTCAGAATTTGCGGAACGACTCTCTGAACGGAGTTATGGAGGGTTTTATCCCGCGTGGCTGTTTCACATGCTATCGCGAGGAAACGTGGAAGCGTCTTTACATATACGTATGGAGTCCACTTGAAACGTGGCAGTAGAGCGCAGCGGATAGCGAGTTGGTTTACTAGGCGAGACGCTGTAGGATCGGTTCTCGGCAGGGCGTTTTTTTTTGCATTTGTCCAAGAACATGGCCGACAAAGCTTCTAACACCTCTGCTCACCTGCACTATCCTGTAAGGAAACTGCGACCAGTTTTTTCGAAAGTGTAGACCCATTGTGGCCTGAAAGAGTGCTTGTGCTTGCCCCCCTGTAGTACATGTCGCAAGGGTTTTTGCATATAATACCATGATAGTCGTGTTCAGCGGGTCAAATTACCTCTGGGAACAAGTTCCTAGCCGAATCTGATATTTCGACCTAACTTGGAAAATGTGAGTTATTCCATGGGTAATAAGCGGCAGTTACGAGCTCACCTACCATCGATGACTGGTCTCGGGATGGAATTCCTACCGGTAATCAGAAAAATGATGCAGACGGCACAAATAAGTAAGCCAGGTACTGTTGTTTGCGAAAAGACATGACTGTCAGTTCGAAGACCAGTCATCACCAGTGTGCTAGTCGCAGTATGGCTTTTGGCTATCAGTTAGCCATGACTATCCATACCCCATTTTTTCGAAGTTGAGTCAGAAACTCAGATTTCGCTAAAATGACGTCTCTAGGGGTTATTTGACCCCTGAACACGAATATGACACCTATTTTGCGCGAAGAGCGCTGTGAGTCGCACTACAGGTGCCAACGCTTCGGCGCCAGCGCGCCTGGAAGAAGAAAAACAGAAAAACCTTCAATAACTCCGCTCAGAGAATCGTTCCGCAAATTTTGAAGATAGTTTCGAGTTCACCGTGTCAAGATGAGTACAATGATGTGCATCTCATTGTATATGGCCGGGCTGACCTGTTGACCTTTCCTGGTAAGTAGGAAACCATCGTGCCAACTGCTTTGAGAACTATTCCAAAAAACTTGGGATTGCTCATAAGAATTTCAGTCTTCTGAGTCCTCCTGAGTTCTTTCGTCCTTCCAGGAGCTCCTTCCTCCTTTAGGCTTAGGCAAAAGTTCTCATCTCACCTAGGATGATTACAGTTTTGTAGAGGTAGCCTTTTAATTGTACCCATTCCACCACGTCTTAAAATTATCAACAAGCTTTTTTCTAGGTCTGTTGCGGTATGGCAAAGACTTCGATGCTGTAGCTGAAGTGCTAGGGACGAAGACGTCGGATAAAGTGAAGAGTTTCTACTCGGATATGAAGCAAGACATTGACAAGGTAAATGATCCCACTGTATTCAGTTTGGACCAAAAAGACACGCGAGATTTGTTTCCAGTGACGAGCGAGGATCTGAGTTGTTTTTAATACCAACCTGCTAATTTGACGCACTTTACGAAAGTGGGCGGAGCCTCTACAATGCGGGCGGAGCTCGACATAGTGGGCGGGACTTCTCTCATTAGCCTGAAATGTAAAAGTTTTCGAAAGGGATTAAATTTTCACATTTTTGGACTCCTACGAAAGCCCCGTCCCGTATATGGCGCTGCGCCCTTTTTCTGGATGCCACGCCCAAGTTCCAAAGCATTTCTGTGTCTGCCTTCGTTGTGTGGGGAGTGGATGTGCAAAAAAGTCGTTTGAAAGTTATAAAAATTTGGATTTTGCGACACATTCCCTAGGAAGTAGGCGGTGTCGTCTTTGTGTCGTTCTGTCAACCCTTATGAGGCAGTGGAAGTGCTGATGGGAAGTAGCAGAAGTGCAAAAGTCACAGAATCAGAAGTTATAAGATAAAACTCGAGGAATCGCGACCACATAAAAGGGCGTGGCTGTTGGAGCGGGACCCACAGTTGCCTGGTATCTAATTATTTGTGTCCGATGTGAACAGTGTGCGTTAAATTTAATTTGAAAAGTGATGTGTTTGGTCCGTAAAGTGGTGAAATTAGTGGAAATGCAAATCTGAAGTCGAAATGATAAATATTATTTCCAGTTACTTGAGAAAGAAGCTGAAAAGGAAGCTGAAATGATAAGTACGTTTGACATGGAACATGAGCTAAGCCTGGAAGGGTCGAAAAACGTTGAAATCGTCAATTTGGAGTGACTGAGAAATTCTTCGCGTTCCGATCTCTACACTGGACTGTATTGGGAATTTTTTGTAATTCTGTAATATTTTTCGGAAGTTCCTTCGATAATTTGCCCTTTTTTCAGTGTCATGTAGATTGTTTCCAAAAAGAACATCATTGCTTATGAATCTGCTTAACCGGCTGCTGTTTTATTTTTTTATTGTTATTTTTTTGTATTCTCTGCTGTGGTAACGCATTAAGACTGTCATATGTGATTTGTTAGGCGAATAAATGTTCTATTCACTAAAGTATTCATTACCACAAAGTGTTCGCAGACATTTACTACCTAATGACCGTGCTATGTTACTTGAGCTGTTCAGCAGCCATTTTTTACGGACTTTTTCAAAATTGCATCCAGGCTTCAGTATGAGCACGGAACATTGCCTATCTCCGGTTGATTCCACTGGCTCGTCTATTCCTGTCGGAGCTGAGGCCATGAAATACAATGCAAGCCATAGTCAACGTCCAGCATCATCTCGAAAATTGTTTGGAAGCCATACCGGCGACAGTAGGTAGTGTTTTGATGGTAATTGATTTGGTTCTAGGCTTAATCCCAGTTTAGTAGGCCAAAAAGTCTGCCCACCTGTAGTTCTCTCCCGTAAGCTCGGAAAGAATCATATCCCTGTCTTACAAGTTTTTCCTTGCACCGTTCATTATCCATTATTTTGGTGGTAATTGATTTGATTCTGGGCCCAATTCCAGTTTAGTAGGCCAAAAAGTCTGCTCACCAGGAGGGAAGGTAGCCTTGGAGTGTGTGCTACTGCGCTACTCCATTCGAATAGCGCCCGTTTTACATATTTGGGTCACTGCTTAGGGAAAAGTGTAATGAGTTTTGAAGTTGCGCTCTGAGCATGTTGTGCCTGGGGAGAACCTTGCAAAGGACGTCCCCCTCACATTTCCTCTGGTACTGCCCCCCATCTCACTTATAAGTGCTTCCCCTTTTTCTTCCACATTTGAAGGCCAAACGGTTGTGCCGATAGTTTTGCGAGGGAAATTTCTGCCTGTTAACCAAGTTTCGAAGAAATATACTGAGACCGCCAAATCTTGGAATATTCGCAAAAGAATGCCTCAAGCCGCTTTCACTTGATCCAAAATGTAAGAGTGCCTTCATAGCGTTTCGAGGGTCCACATGCGCTTTGAGCGTACCAGCGCCTAGATCGATACACATACTTTCCTAGTTGCTGAAAA